GGGAAACAAAATACATATCTGTAATGTACCTGGTGAGAGGATCAAGGCCAGCTGGTTTGCTAGGGTTTAGGTGGCCGGCCGACCTTCCTCGTGGCCGGCCGGCCAAGGGTCAAAAGGGTCAATCATGATTAGTGGCCGGCCATGCCAAAAAGAGGGCCTCCTATGTGTGCACAACACAACCATGTGGTCAAAAAGTGGAGAAAGTAAACCAGGAGAGAGAATAGTCCACTTTTAGGAGGGGTTCAAAAGGGTCAAACACAAAATTACTGGCCGGCCATATGATATTGGTGGCCTCCCAGGTGTGTACAACACAAATATGTGGTCTAGGGCTGGAAAAAGTGGCCTTAGGGTGGTCAACATTTGGCTTTCGAGTGAGAAAAACGGGCGACGGAGGGCGATGGACGAATAAAACTGGTTGTCAGAACAATTACTAGCCTCCCACCCTTCTACGACCTTCCTAACAATGAAACAGAGGTCCCTGCCAAAAATGAACTCAAACCGATGCAAAATGAAGGTTCGGGGGCGGAAACGAGCAGCCCGAGACCCCGAAAACTGACTGTTAGGCACTGGAAGTGGTGTTCGACCACGAAGTTAGTTTTTCGAGCCACAGTGTCCTTCAAAATGGAGGAAATAAGATGCATGCCAAAAACCAGAGCAAACGGAGGTGGTTAAGCGGTCCCGAACCGAGGCACACGGCCAACGGCTCCGAAAACCGGAAACCGGACTTCAAACGGGCAAAATGGCCTACGACCACGAAACGTAGCCTACGGCCACTGAGAGATGATCTACGAGACCTCTCCCTCCCTTTGGGAAGAGAAAACAGAGAAAACAAAGCCTGGTTCTCAAATCGAGGCAAAGCACAAAAGAGCCCCGAAGTCTGGAGACAAGGCTCGCAGCCGAGACTCCGCAACCTCATAACGAGCACAATATGCAACATCACCAAGCGCTCAATCGGTGACGTCTGAGTCTTAAGGTCGGTCAAAAATGGGGTGTCTACAGGCATAAACAAATACATTTCATACTTAAATAACTCACATCTATGCATATACAAATGAATATTACACGCCCAAAGATCATTCACAAGTCATCAATATATAGATCCAAAAGCTTATATACATGTCAAATATGACCAACAAAAGAAAACAAAAGAACGAAGGTAATAGCCTCATCTGTGAGGCATTTCATAGCTAATTTCACAAAAACTCAAGTAATCTTTCACAGGTTCACTAGGGCTAGACATCTCGCTGCTTACTTACATACACACACACACGCACACACACACACACACACACACATATATATATATAATGAAGTGAGTTAAAACCCAGTGAATAACATGAGAATAAAGAGATTACATGAATGAGTTCTTAATTTAATACAGATAATCTTCTACTCAAATTCTTATCATAGAAAAACAATCTCGGGTCCAAAAGATAGCAGAACAACCTTTGGTGCAACATATACAGAAGTACAAAACAGAACAGATTATACATAGCAAAACGACCTTGGGTCCAATCAATTACATCTGTACAATGACCATTTGGTCAACATGTAATAGAAATTCAGACTTATCAGATATTCGGAACGACCTTAGGTCCATCTTATCAAATATACAGAACGACCTTAAATCCATCATATACATTCGTATCTTGTCATTCACATTCACAAATATTATGTTGATTGGACAAATAGAAGTCTCATTCATATCGCAAAATCATAAGTTTGAAAAAGCTTACCACATTGCAACATTTAAAAATAATGCATATGAAAATATCTTTACTAAGATATTATTCATAGTGATTTGGTTGTTCATACAGCTTCATGGATAAACCTATACAATTCATAAACATACAGATTGGGTCACATTGCGTAATCGGATCGTTCTTTAACTTATTCAATTCCTTTAAGTCTTATTCTAACTTATCAATTCATTTGGAAGGCTCAATTCATACCTAAGAATGCTTAAATTAATGAGAATGTAAATGTGGTCAGAATATGAATTTTCAAAATATGCTGAAACAAGACAATTCGCTCGAGCGCACTTTTGGTCACTTAAGAAAACCACATATGGTCTGTAAAAGTACTAGATGGTTAGATTCTAGGCTTGATGGTCGCTCGAGCTAAGGTACAAAGAAACTGAGGTCATTGGAGCGGTCACTTGATCGCTCGAGCCAAGTACAAAGCTCTGCAAAAATGTTAGATGCATGAAATGTGCGCTCAAGCGACAACTACTTCGTTCGAACGGTCTGACTGAATTCTTGTTTCCAAAACATAATTTTATGTTTCAAAACTTGAGTCCAAAGTGCGAAACTTGCAAAAACTTTTGCATGGCTTAGCCTATAGCTTGAAAACACTTAGAAAAATACGGACATGTAACCAATATCAAAACCTTAATTAGCTCAAAAGCCTCATGATTTTACAAAATTGAAGCTTAAACTTCATGCATGTATGACCTTGGCTTAAATTTTTCTTCTACAACTTTCAAAACATGGAATTTGAGTTTCAAAACAACATAATTCATGGATGCATGTATGATTCAAGTCTCAATTCAAGTATTGGTAACAAAATAAGCTCCAATTGATGATTCTTCACACAATTATGCATGCATGTATAAATTAACCTCAAATTCATTATTCTTAGCTTAATTCTTGTGTTTAAATTCATTATCTCTTTGAATTCATATGCTAGATGACTCAAATTATTGAATTAAGGTTCAAACACTTACCTAAAGTTTTCAATTGAGCTTATACTAGCAAATTCTTGAGTTCTACTTCACCATTCCTCAATCTCCTTGCAAAATTCCATGCTTTCTAACTCTGCTCTCTCTAGAATGGCCTTACTCTCTCTCTCTCTCTCTCTACAACTCTTCTAAAACTTTTGAGCTCAAAATAATGAAATCTAAAATCTTAACACACACACACATATATATATATATATGTAAGAGTTGATTAGCTTAAGGTTGATTAGCTTACAGTAAAGGTCCATCCCTGATTACAAGAACAAGAATAATAGGGTGTGTGAGTGGGCAAGCACGCCACATGCGATATTGCTGATTTATTATTTGTGAACTCTGTGGGGCTATGCTTTGAGTCGAGCTGAATAATGATGAATGATGATTGTTGTGGTTGCTCGATACTCGCTCACTCACTCTTCTCTTCCATGGACATATACATCCTCCCAAGTCACAGGCTGGGACAACTGCTTCTGCACTACCATTTGACCCACCATGTGGGATTGGTCACCATCAGTATTCCACTTTCCCCCATTCCTTTTTGCTTTTTCCTTTTTTTCTTTTTTTTATCATTTTAAATTTAGGTAAATTTAATTTTATCTTCTCTATCTTTATATTTTCAAATCATTTGTATACATTTAATCTTACTAAAGAAAAGGTCACTATAATTATATTAAAATTATAAAATTTATTATATTTTTTCTAAACTTAAAAGCAGATCGGTGTAACCTTTATTTATTTATTTTAATTTATAACCATCCTTTGAAATAGAATAGTTTTATATATGTTAGATTGGCCTTTAAGTGCAGACGAAATTTTTTAGTATGACATTCTTTAAGGTAAGGCTTTTGTGAGAGCACAATTATATAGTGTTAATTTACCGGAATGAATGTGTAATTGTTGTTAGTGGGTTAAGATTATAATGAAAGTCCTATACAAATCTTGAACTTTTAATTTTTTCACTATCCAAAAGGATAATTACGTAGATCACTAGATTAATTTCCATCTCCAATGTAATAATCATTAGACATAATTTCATTTACATGCATTTTCTATAATTTTTTTGATTCAATTAAACATAAGAATAAATATTCTAATTGAGGGTTGATTTGGGAATTGACTTTTTTTTTTTTTTTTTTTTACAAAAAAATAAATTAACTTTCTGTGACGACTTTTTGACTTTTTACTAAAACTTCAACTTCCAAAACAAGGCCTCATAATCATTTTATTTCATTTCAATTAATCAAACAATACTTGAGCTTTAAATATTTTATAAGAAATCTCTTTCAAGATTTGGTGTTTTCTTGTAATTTTTGCCTTTCTACGAATCCGTCAATTTAGTTGGAATATATTTAATCCCTAATGATGCATCTTGACATTTGTCGTACTCCTAATTTCTACTTTGTATATAAAACTTTTTCCTTTTGCTGATTAACAAAAAAACAATCTCAAACGTAGATAATATATAGATTCTTCTCTGTAAAACACTTGCTTAGGATATTTGCTCAAAAACACTTGAAACATGGTGAGTGTGACCTACACAAGTATCACTGGACCTTCTAAAAAGTAAAAGTAAATTGATTGACCCCGAGAGCACAACTAGCTTTGGATATTTTGAAGCCATCTCTTTCGAGATTTACAATGTTTCTATTATTTTGTAAGGTCAAGCCTAGATAGTAGGCTGTTTTGTCTAAAAAAATCCTTACTTTAGGACCAAGAATCTCATTTGTGAACCTGAAATATCAATTCAAACAGTGGGTCACAAGCATTAGTTGTTGGATTTGAAAATTTTAATCAATTTGGAACTTTTAATCGTAAAATTCACAAGGTCATCGCCAATCCACTATTTTCTTTGACCAAAGTCATCCATGCTTTAAAACTGGAATTAAATCACTCAAGTACTTTCGCTAAAATTTTAATTTTTTTCTATTTATTTTTAATTAGACTAATCAATCGTTACATGTACGTCAAAATTATAATCCCATCCATCTAACATCACTAAAGCTGATGAAAGTTAACACAAAAATATATCTCCAACAAAATATTACTAAACTGATCTGAAATGGCATATGACACACGAAAAAGCACCAGCACAACAAACTAATAGGATTTTGCAAAAGAGAGACACACACTTATCCCTCCATAATAATAATAATAAAAAAAAAAAAAAAAAAAAAAAAAAAAGATACAAATGTTCAGCAATCAAAGTTCAAACCCAAATATGAAAAAAAAAATAAAAAAAATTAACAATTAAAAATCTAAATTTATATCACTTGCAATACAAATTCTCAATCGCTTTGGTCATGGTATCAACATCCATGGTGCAATTCATTTTCACTGATTTCTTCTTCTTAATGACCATGAAGAGATGTATCTTACCGCTCACCGTCGCATGGCTAGTCAGTGTCAACTTCCCCAAGCTAATATCACTACTCAAGTTTAAATCATTCGATGTGTCAGCCGAAGAATTCACAGTCACAGTAACGTTCATTTTCTTCGTTGATCTAGCACTTGCACACGCTTTAGTGATAACAAAATCGCCAACATGACTGCCTCTGTAGGATATTGTAGCGTTGCTGTTCTCAAATTTAAATTGGCCAAAATTGGTGTTCTTGACTGTAACTTGAGCATTAAGTTTCATGAAGAAGGAAGGAGAGGAGGTGGAAGAGTTAACAATGAGATTTTCAACGGCAACAGAGCCAAACCGGCCTTTAGGGTTTCGAATGCGCATGAAAGTGAGAACAAAAACCAATGTGCTTGCCGTTTGTAGTATCACTCCGGCGACTATATATAACAAGCACTTGATGTTTCGCTTCTGGCAGAGGGACGAGGCTGATTCATGCTCACTCTTCATGTTTGCTAGATCTCTCACTGAAGTAGAAGGAAGCTAAGACTTTTCTCTCTTCCGGGGCTTGCTTTGTTGTTTTCTTGGTTGGGTTGAAAATGAAGGTGGGATAGCCAGGTTTTATGTGGCTAAGAAAGTTTTGTATATTTAAATACTGTTAATAATGTAAAAGGGATCACATTTTATAAGACAGCAATGCTAGGTATCATGAAAAGTCTTTCATGAAAATGGTCATGAAAGATTTGTGACTTTGGATTACACTTACAATAAAACACCACACACAAATCAAGATAATCTAAGAGTCACAAATTTTTCATGATCCTTTTCATGACAAAATTTTCATGATCTCTAACATTTCTCTTTATAAGATGATGTCTTGTTTGACACTATTAATTATATGTGTTACGTAAGGCTTAACAAAATTATATCGTTAATGTCATATATAGAATGTCACTATTAATTATGTGTGGTACATAAGGTTTAGATTCAGAATGTTTTATTTTGTAACATAAATATGGGGATTAAGATACACAATTACCAGTTGGGGAGGTGAACGGATTGTGAAGGTAATTGATATTATTTGTTTGGTATTGATTATTTAGTTTCTATATTCTATATTTGTTTGTGTTGCAATAATCTCTCTATGTACAACTTTTCTCCTTTCATAAAGTTTTTCTCCTTATTGCATGGAAGTTTGTTTTTCTCCCTACGCGGAGACTTGTATCCTCGTTACATAGAGGTTCTTTTTATCCTTTTTAGAATCCATTTTGTGCTTCAATATATTTTGTAAACAGATTTTGAATCTAATAATTATCTTTTCTTAATCAATGAATGCAGATTTACAAATCAGTTTTATACATGACTTCACCAATTCAACTAACCTAATCATAACCAACTCACTAACCTAACCATGGTTTAGTTCTAACAGCCTAATCACTTTACAACTGTTATGCAACCTGCTACTGAGGTTGCAGCTTTACCTGCTCTTCTTTGAGCCTCAGTTGACCTGTGTCTAACTGCGTTGTGTCTAACTGTGCCCTAGGCTGCTCAAGCAAAAATTGTTGTTGTGGCTTTTGTGGCTTTGACTCAGCTTGCCTATCATTCCTCCTCAAACTTCCAAGACTAGAAAGGACAAAAAGTTTGCTTTGAAAATATTGAAAGCGAGACACAAAGGCTTGGTGAATATATCAACAATGTGATCGATGAAGGGAATGTGACAAATGGCAAGTTTCTTGGCAACCACCCTTTCACGAACATAGTGATAATCAACCTCGAAATGCTTGGTTCGAGCATGGAAAACAGGATTATGTGTCATGGCTATGGCAGACAAGTTGTCACACCATAGAGTGGGAACTGGAATAGAAATATGGAGTTCATTCAACAACATGTCAATCCAACTGAGCTTAGCAGAAGTTTGAGCAAAAGCACCATATTTTGCTTCAGAAGAAGATTGGGAAACTATTTGTTGCCTTTTAGCAGCCCAAGAAATCAAATTGGGACCAAGGAAAACATAGTACCTTGTGGTAGATCTGCGGTCAACAACATTGGCAGCCCAATTAGAGTCTGGAAAAGCAGTGAGATGAAGAGGGCTAGAAGAAAAATGAAGACCATGATGTAAGGTCCCTTTGAGATATTGGAGCAACCTCTTGACATTTTCAAAATGGGCATTAGATGGAGCTTGCATGAACTGACAAGCATGATTTACTGTAAATGCCAAATCTAGGCTAGTTAAGGTAAGATATTGAAGAGCCCTAACTAGACTTCTATAAAAAGAGGGTTGAGAAAATGGATAATCATCTGTAGAAGAAGCTGATAGTTTGACAGCCATAGGTGAAGAATAGGATTTGCAATAACTCATTTCGGCTTTAGCTAAAATTTCTTTAGCATATTTAGATTGATAGAGAATATAATGGAAGGGAACTTGGTAACAGAAATGCCAAGAAAATATTTAATGAAGCCTAATTCTTTCATGGAAAAAGTAGAGTGCATTTGCTGAATGAGAGTTTGAATATAAAGAGGATCATTACTAGTAAGAAGAATGTCATGCACATAAAATGAGTAGGATAGTAATAGAAGTAAAAGAGTGGTGAACAAACAAAGAAGAATCATATTTGCTGGGAATAAAATTCTGAGACAATAGAAAATTAAAAAATGTAGAAAACTAAACTCTAGGGGCTTGTTTCAAGCCATAAAGAGCTTTATAAAGCTTACATACAAGAGAAGATTGAGTGGGATGCACAAAACCTTGGGGTTGCTGCATATTGACCTCTTCCTTAAGAATCCCATGCAAGAAAGCATTTGAAATGTCAAGCTGCTTGATAGACCAGTTAAAATGGAGAGCAAGGTAGAGAAGAATACGAGTGGTAGGTTACTTGGCCACACGACTGAAGGTTTCATGGTAGTCCCCCTCTGTTTGAAGGAAGCCTTTAGCAACTAGTCTGGTTTATGCCTAGCAATAGAACCATCAGAGTTCCGTTTGAGTCAAAATACCCATTTGCATCCAATAGCCATTTTATTAGATGGCAAAGGGACTAGAGACCACGTACCCTATCGTTGAAGAGCTTCATACTCATCAACTATAGCAGATTGCCAAGCAAAGGAAGCAGTTGCCTCTTTATAAGTTTGAGGTTCAAAATTATCAGGCGAAGCAAGAAAGTAAGAAAAAGAAAGATGAGACTTGGATCTAGTAACCATAGGATGAACATTTGTGACAGAAGTAAGAATATGTAAAGGTGGAGGAATATGAGAGGAAGAACATGGTAAATCAATGAAGATAGAAGAAATAGGAATATGAGGAGAAGAATTATAAGAAATAAGAGGAATAATAGCTGAAGAAGGAAAGGTTGCTAGAGTAGAATTAGGAGAAGTAGGAGAATCTAAAATAGGTAAGACTAGTGGAGGTAAAGAAGAGGAAAGAGAAGTAGGAGAGAATGGGGAGGCAAGACTAGGAGAAGGAGACCAAAAGAAGTCAAGGTAGAAATGGAGGAAATAAACTCATGTGTAGTATGAAATGGGAAAGACTGCTAATCAAACACTATATGTCTAGAAACATAAACTCTGCCTGAAGAAAGATCAAGACACCTGTATCCCTTAGTAGAAGGTTGATAACCTATAAAAACACAGGCAACAGATTTGGGTTGAGGTTTGTGAGAGGCATAAGGCTGAAGCCATGGATAACATTTACAACCAAAAACCCTTAAGAAGTGATAATCAGATTTGTTATTGAATAAAACTTCACAAGGTGAAAGATTCTGCAGTTTAAGAGTAGAAAGGCGACTAACTAAAAAAACTGTAGTAGCAAGTGAATCAAACAAATAGACCAAGGGAAGAGAGGAATCATGCATAAGAGTGGTGGAAGTCTCAATCAGATACATGTGCTTGCGCTCAGCCACAACATTTTTATCAGGTGTGTGGGGGCTAGTCAATTGATGAGTAATACCTTTTTGGTTGAGAAAGGCTTGAAATTGTTTACTAAGATCTTCACCTCCATTATCACTTCTTAAAATCTGTAATTTTGTAGTGAATTGTGTCTCAATGAAAGCTTTGAATCAAGAATTTTAGAAAATACTTCACTCTTATAAGAAAAAGGAAAAAGCCATGTAAACTTGCTAAAATCATCAATGAAAAGTACATAATATTTAAAGCATGATACATTAGAGGAGAATGGAACCCAAACATCTGTGTGAACAAGAGCAAAAGGTTTATCAACAGTAGAATTAGACAAACGAAAGGGCAATCTATGGCTCTTAAACACACAACAATGCTCACAAACTAGAGCCATTATTGGAAAGTAAAAAAGACTTAGAGACTAAGTGATGGTGAGACAGAAGATGGTGAAACTTCTTGGAGGATCGATGACCATGCCGAAAATGCCAGTTAGAAGAGCTGAAAGAAGTGGTGTAAGAGTAGTATGCTAAAGAGGAAGCTACAGAAGAAGATGTAGGTAAAGAGCGGAATGGATAGAGACCATTGGAGTAGCATCTTTTATATAGTATTCTCTGTGTATTCTTGCCCTGAACAAGAAAACAATCCTTATCAAAAGTAATAGTATAGTCGTTATCAACATCCAACTGATGTACTGAAAGAAAATTGGAAGAAATAGTTGGAACATGAAGCATTTGGGTGAGATGAAATGGAAACTTAGGTGTTGGAAGAAGTTCTTTACCAGTATAGGCAATGGGAAAAGTTGTGCCATCACCAATAGCAACTTGTTGCTAACCTAGATATGGTTGATAAGAGAAAAAATTACTGTGATCATTAGTTATGTGGGTTGAGGCCCTAGAGTTAAAAAACCAATTTGATTCACTTTGTAAAGAGTTGGAGTGTTAAGTAGAGGCAATATAAGCCTTGGAATTGCTTGGAGATGATGCAACAAGAAAGGAAAAATCTGTAGATAAATTTTGACATGACTGAAAAATAGTGTCTAGCCTGTACCAGTAGTCTAGAGCAGTGTGATTGACTTTCCCACAGATTTGACAAGTCACATGTGTATTGAAGTTATTGCTTGACTTGCCTCTTGAGTATTGATTGTGTCCTCTTCTCTGATAATGATTTGGACTACTCTGTGTATGCTGTAAATTCAAGACATGAGATCCTCGAGATCTACCTACATCTTTATTTATTGAGAAGTTCTGTGACCCCCTTCTGTTAGAATATGGACCTCGATTAGCAGCCTAGGCAAATGGAATTTGTGGCTTAAGTATGTTTGAGAGGTGTCATGACCCGAACCCGCCCCTATGGGTTAAGGACATAACCGGCCAGTAATCTTGAGATTACCTACGGCCTCATATTCAGAACAGACGTAACTTGTCAGAGTAAAGGGGCCAAACGGAAGCAAAAATTAAAAACTTTGTCCATAGAGCCGTGCTTATATGCACATCAAACATACCATATTCAGTTACGTTAATAACCCACCTCAAAATTACAGTTTCACAAAATTCATTACAGACAGGATCATCCAACATGAGTCAACCTATGACAGGCTATATACAAATATACACTAGGCCCTTGCCAACAAGACAAAACATAAGTATATAGCAAAAAGGCAAGGTAGGTCTCAAGAGTGAGACGCAAGGCTGACTTCCTCAAAACTCGGATTTCTCCTAGCAGACTTCACCGGGGCTGGGTTTGGACTTCCCTTGGCTCACCTACAAACACATGAATGAGCATGAGCGATAGCCCAGTGAATAATATCAAACATGACAGTTACATAACAATATGTAGAACAACATGCTCCGAACGGCCTTGGGCCCAGTTCATAATTCTATTTAACAAAGATATATGACTATACGAAATGCAAATCAAGTAACTGCAGTTCCAAACATTCATGGCAAAACGGCCTTCGGCCCATTCACTTATGTCGAAACGGCCTTCGGCCCATTCATTTCTGTCAAAATGGCCTTCGGCCCATTCCTTTATGTCAAAACGGCCTTTGGCCCGCTCGTTCATGTCAAAACGGCCTTCGGCCTACTCACATGAGTCAGAACGAACCTTTGGTCCATTCATTTACATCAGGACGACCTTTGGTCCATCGTATTATATCAGGACGACCTTGGTCCATTCGTTCACATCAAACGACTTCGGTCCATTCATTCACATCCAAACGACCTTCGTCCATTCATTTATATCAAAAACGACCTTTGGTCCATTCATTCATTCCTGTCGACTTTTGTCTACAATCCTAATTAACAACTCATAAAGTTTATAAGAATAAACAATTGGACATTGACAAGCTTTCGAATATTGATATTACTCACATGATCGGCTTCGGGATTCGCCCTGGAGCTTGACCCTACACATTCCATGCACACAAAAGGTCATTAACAATTTAATCCGTCCCTTAATTCACATATTCCTCTTTAGGCTTTATTCTTATCTCATAACTCATTTTAATGTTTAACACACGCCTAAGAGTGATTACAAGTGAAAGAGAACGGAAAACGAAACACAGAACGCATGAACAAAATTCCAGAAAATAGGGTCCTCGCTCGAGCGTTACTTGCCGCTCTGAGCGGACCCTTAAGGCCTGCAAAAGTACTGGTTGCTTGAAAAATGCGCTCGAGCGTGTAATAGAGCGCTCGAGCTGAAGGCCTGCCTACAAAACTCCAACGCTCGAGCGTGAGGTTTCCCGCTCGGCGGACGTCCAACTCTGCAAAAAGTGCTGGAGCACGATTTTTCCCGCTCGAGCGGCCATTACCCGCCGAGCGGACATCAAAATTCTGGGTTCCCAGATTGTGTTCTGAGCTCCAAATCGGTTTTCCAGCTACATTACTTGCATGCAATGGCTCAATTTACACATCTTACACATGCTAACATGCTACTAATACAAGATTACAACATCAGAACTCTTATATCTTATATTATCTACATGCATGTCCCAAAATAATTCTAAACCCATCATCAACATGCTCAATTTCAAACATTCCAGACTTATACTCCCATGATTTGTTACATGCATGTGGAGATGCTCATCATTCTCACTTAATTAGATGTACAATATGGTGATTACAACATGAGCTTAACCAAAACTCTACATGAATCATGTGTTTCAAGCTCAAACATGCAAATTCAAGGTAATCTCTTACATGCATGAGTTCTAAGACTTCAAACTCAACAAAATCAACTTATTACCTTCTCTTGATCACAAACAACTCTTGAACTCACAAGATTACAAGTTCAATTCATAATTTCAAGAGTCAATGGCTTACCTAGAAGTCCAATTCTTCAATCTATGGTCCAATTTGAGTTGGACTTCAAGATTCCAAGCCCTCAAGATCAAACACAGATTTTTCTCTCTTCTCTCTCTCTAATGGCCGGCCCTCTCCTCTCCTTAGAGTGTATATCAGCCAAGTGAGAATT